AGAGTGTTTCACCCCACAAAATCAGAATACACATTCTTTTTGACTGCACACAGGTCATTTTCCAAAATAGAACACATCCTAGCTCATAAGACTGTCTAAGTAAATGTAAAAGAACTGAAGTTACCCCCTGTATATGATCAGACCATAGTACAATAACATTGGAGATCAATAACATAAGAAACTGCAAAACCCCCACAAACACATAGAAACTAAATAAAACCCTCCTGAACAACCAATGCATCACAGAAGAAATTGAAGAAGAAATTAAACAGTTTCTACAAGTAAATGATAATGCCAGTACAACATACAGAAATCTATGGACACAATGAAAGCAGTTCTACATGGGAAATTCTTAGCAGTCAATGCTCATATTAGGAAAACAGAGACAGCTCAAATAAATAACCTAATGCAGAACCCCAAGCTCCTAGGAAAAGAAGAGCATAACAAATCCAAAGCTCATACAATAGAGGAAATTATAAAGATCAGAGGAGAAAGCAATGCAATGGAGACTAAGAGCAAGACACAAAAGATCAATGAATCAAAGAGTTGGTTTTTTTAAAAGAATAAATAAAACAGGGCCGGGGATTTAGCTCAGTGGTTTCATCGCCTGCTGTGCAAGTGCAAGGACCCAATTTCGATCCCTGGTACAAAAAAAAAAGAAATAAAATTGATAAACCTTTAGCCAACCTTATCAAAAAAAAGAAAGAAAAGGTACAAATCCATGCAATTAAGAATGAAAAAGTTGAAGTCACGACCAATCCAACAGAAATCCAGAGGATCATCAATACCTACTTCAAGAACCAGTACTCTAATAAAATGGAAAACATAGAAGAAACATATGATAACATAGATAAACATAGATACATACAAATTGCCAAATTTAAATAAAGAAGATATAGAAATTCTAAACGCCCCAATTACTATGAGTGAAATTGAAAATGTAATAAAAATTTTACCAACAAAGAAAAGTCCAGGTCCTGGTGGCTTCACTGCTGAATTATACAAGACATTTAAAGAAGAACTATCATCATTACTCTTTAAACTCATCAAGGAAATTGAATGGGAAGCAAGGCTTCCAAATTCACTACTGAAAGCAAGTGTTACTTTGATTCCAAAACCAG